GTTTCTCGACCATGCTCTCTGGTGTCGTCATCATCGTCAATTTCATCTGGGCGCTTACTATGTATACAGTCTGGCAAGATGCGCAGTTCAATAGCACGTTGGTAAAAAGCGGTTATGCGATGACGCAGCTGCGCGCAGCGTTCACGCTTGCGACTGCGGCAAGAGCAAAAACGGGAATGGAGGATAGGGAGTTGTTGAGGGCGGAGACGAAGAGTTTGGAGAAGGAGTTATTCGGGACGAGGAAGAAGGAGCAGGCGCAGGTCGACTATGATATTTTCAGAGGGAGCGCCTCTGATGAGGAGCTTGATGAGGATGGGAGTGGATTGAGGAAGAGGAGAGATTTTGTGAACGAGGAAGTGAGAAACTAGGCTTTGGGTACGATTTAATGGATGTGTGTTATTCAGTGCCGTTTTTGATGTAACCTTGAAGGTTATTTTGAAAATTAGCAAAGGTGTCTGTTTTTGGAATTGCCCGATTCACAGTATGGATTCGATCAGAATAGCATGAGGGCGTTCGTCACGCGGACTTTGCCCCCCTTGCAACCCTGATATTTGGAGACACATTTGCTGGGGACAAATGGTCGAGCTCACCCTTGACCTATCCATACAGGAGATACGCTTCCCAGGGAAACCATTGGTCTAGTCGGGAAGCAGATTGGAGACCAAAGATGGTAAAATACTATCTAAGCGTTCTTTGAACCTATTAATATAATCAAGGCTCCCAAGGACTTCTAGCAGACCCACCACTAATATTTTCCGCCTCGCCATCTTCTCGGACGACCAGAATATCCTCATGCCTTACACCAAACTGATTGAGTACATAGACCCCAGGCTCACTCGTGAAGACCATCCCCGGCCTCAGAATCGCTTCGAAATTCCCTTTATTCAGATACGGGCTCTCATGGGCTTTGATCCCGATGCTATGACCAAGACGGTGAGTGAATTCATCTCCGTAACCAGCAGCCTCGATGACGCCGCGAGCTGCTAGGTCGACTGCTGAGGCCGTCCCGTTCGGAACCATTTGCTTCACGGACGCTGCTTGGGCGTCCAGTACCAATTGCCAGACTTTGAGCTTTTCTGTAACGTTGTATTCAGGCGGGGGAGGATTGGGGAAGAATGGGGGATAGAAGGTCCGACACACATCACTGCTATAGCCATACAGATGCGCGCCCACATCAATCAACACAAAATCACCTGGCTTAAGCGTCGCCGTACCATCATGACCTCCGTGTGGTAGCGCGGCTTGCTTTCCGAACTCCACGATATCGAAAAATGGGTCCATGCCAGCGGCTCTCACAGTATTATCAAGCACTTCCGCGACTTCGTTCTCCGTTACCCCGTGGTAAAGACACTTACGCATGGCGCGTATAGCTTCAACAGTCCCCGTATTTACAGCTTTTAAAATCCCGAGTTCGCGCTCTGTTTTTATTTGTCGGACGGCTTCGACTTCGCCGCTGAGGCCGACCACGTCGAAGGCGTTGAGGCTGAGGCCGCGGGCGATGAAGTCACGCATTTCTTCGTCCACCATGAGGATTGGAGAGAGCGTTTCGCCCCATATTGGGGATTCCCAGAGCGTGATGTAGGGGTTCCAGTGCTCCTCGTAGGTGATGGTGGAGATTTCTTCGGGGAATGGCATGTTAAGGAGGCGGGCGCGGATTTCTTCGAAGTGCGGGACTAGGAAGGATGTATTTGCTATTACATCTCCATTGGGAAGCTTGGATGGTCGGATTACCATTAAGAAGGGTCTTTCCTCAGGCTATATTTAAATATGTTAATATTGAAAATAGAGTGAGAGAAGGGTGTAACGTTCCTCCCAAACCTCCCAGTCGGGCTGGGTAACGTTTGCATAGTAGGAGAATGTGTAGCCAGGTTCGACGACGAATGCATCGATGCCGTCGGCTACGAGTGCCTTAGCAAGGTTGTTTCTGCGTAAAATGTATTCGTCCAAGGGTGGTCGTTCGACTGTCTTGAGAAATTCTAGGCCAGTCGCGAGATAGGTGTCAATAGAGCATTTCTGGAAACGAGCCTTTTTTGGTATTAAAGGAAATGATAGAAGAGGTTTGTAAGGGGAGAATAAAGTCTATTAAGGTCAATACAGTTCAGTTTCACGTGACTTGAGTCACCTTAGAGCGCTTACCCATATTGTAAACAAAGTGCCAATTGCAAGCCAAATGAGAATATTGCAAGTGCTACGATGGTGTGTCCTGCGCGGCTGCGCTGCGCCAGTTGGGCGAGGGAGTTGAGGTTCTTTCATTTTGACTTCACGGAATGAGAGTCGAGAGAGGAAAAGATGCAGTTGAAGAAGGCGAACCGGCGTTCTCTCCGGGATGTCCTAAGCCGGAATAGCGTTTGTAGCTATCCCACCTGCCGAGGGTGGACGACCGTACTGAAAGATACCAAGATCATCCGCATTTCCCCCATCCTTGAGGGGTTTACGTTTGCCGGCCGGCCAAACGCTTATCGGCAGCAGGTATCCATACTGTAAGATACCACCTTCGGCTCATTAAAAGATATAAAGGACTGCGTCGCCGTCATGAAAATCCTTTCTCTCTTGTTTCCCGCGAAACGCAAAAAATGGACACCTCGAAGGCTGGAGAAAAGAACATGAACATAAGTTCAACACCGGCGAAGGATAATGAGTCTAACGTGGAAGCGGAAGCTCAAACTGCCGCTACAGACATCGACAATGGCTCTATCCAGAGGACTTCCATTTTGTACTCCAAGAAATCGATTTTCTTCATGGTTCTTTTCTCTGGTCTTGCCATTGGTTCGGATGCCTACAATAGCGCGTTGATGGGCCAATTGCTGCTTCTTTTGACGGCTTTGTATCCGGATGCGCTGCCTGTCGGGACGCAAGCTCAGCTCACGAATGCGTTCATTATTGGATTGGTAAGCGCAGGAAGGACAAGGCTCGGAAAGGGAGATAAGAACTGACAAAAATGACAGATCCTGGGTATGTTAGCTTTCGGGTTCATCAGCGATCGTCTTGGACGAAAGTCTGGTGCCGTTTTGACGACACTATTTCTTTCGGTGGGTATTGTCATGACCGCTGTGTCTCATGGGGCATCTGATAAGGGCTTGTTCTGGATGTTGACGATTTCGAGGGGAATTGCTGGTTTTGGGTAGGTTTCATGCGACCTAGAGATTTCACTACCGTTCGAATACGTGGAACTGAGTATGGCAACAGAGCCGGAGGGGAGTATCCGGTGTCCGGAGCCGGTACTGCAGAGTCGACCGACGATTCTCCCACCGCGAGGAAGCATCGCGGTTTCATTTTTGCCATGGTTGCTGATGTATCGGCATCTCTTGGATTCATATTTTCCGGCCTAGTTCCGCTTTTGTTGCTTCTATGTTTCCACCAGAAAGAATCTCAGTACGAGAAGGTCTGGCGTATCGCCTTCGCTCTTGGGATCATTGTAAGAAGCTCGAGACGTCTCCAATCAGGAGAGCATGCACTGACTCATCAACAGCCCCCAGTCTCCATCTTCTGGTTCCGTTACCGTATGGCCATGTCGTCGGCAGAGCGAAGAAGCTCATCAAGAAAGCAAATAATGCCATATCATCTTGCCATACGCCGATATTGGCGTCCTTTGCTAGGCTCAGCAGCAGCTTGGTTCATATACAACTACATTGCCTATCCTTTCGGACTCTTTTCATCCACCATTTCAGCCAGTGTTGGTGCTGGAGACACTCTAGTGAAAAGCTACGGCTGGGGAACATTGATTAATGTCAGTGAGATTGATAGATATCCATATTCCATCGCGCTCATGATCTAAGCCACTGTTGTAGTGCTTTTACCTACCTGGTGGCTTTATTGGAGGTTATCTTAGCGATAAAATTGGTCGTCGACGCACCATGGCCCTTGGCTTCGGCCTCCAAGCTGTCCTAGGTTTTGTAATGGGTGGAGCATTGAAGCCCATCGAAGAACGCACCGGACTCTTCATTGTACTTTATGGTCTCTTCCTGACGCTGGGTGAGGTTGGTCCTGGAGGTGAGCACACATAAACCAACCTTGACCTGTTTTCTAATGCTCACGTATCTGACAGCAACAATCGTCGCAACCTCATCCGAATTTTTCCCAACTTCTATTCGTGGACAAATGCTCGGATTATGTGCCGCTACTTCCAAAGCCGGGGCCGCAATAGGTATGAAAACTGTCGTCGTCAAGAGATAAAAGCACTCGCTAATCAATTTTCTTTAGGCACGAGCGTCTTCAAGCCCATTCTATCATCTTTCGGAGATGATACGTTCAGGGGCAACCAGGCGGTATTTCTCATCGGCTCTGGCTTTGCGGTCCTTGGAATGCTCGTTGCGTGGTACTTTATTCCAGGAACGCCGCCCATGTTGGAAGAAGAGGACGAGAACTGGAAAATTTATCTCCAAGACCATGGATATGAGATTGAATGGGGTGATAGTGAGGCCAAAGATCCGTCGAAGGTTACATTCGATGCTGTGAGGGATAAAATTATCACGGGGTAGCATAGCTAAAATTCGCTGCCGCTAATCACACTCTTACGAGGCTTGTGAGTTTCCTGTGGTGGTTGTTGTCCCTGCGCACAGGGATTACCGCTCGATAAGGGATTTGAGTTCAAGTACCAAGCGAAATGCCACATAGTGCTTCTGATATGGAATATTCTTCAGCCATGTGCCACAGTAAGCAAAGGCACTTGGTTTGAGGGGAGGCGAATCCGAAAACTTTGTGATGGGGAGGTGAAAATTACTTCCTAATAACTTCAAAATGAAAGAAAGGCATACATCGAATAGACTCGAGCTTAAATGACTTTATTGATGCATGAGGCCGTTGCTTTCTTTGTTCTCATGGATCTCTAGATATATATATATTAAATTTCCTTTCTTTTTATTTTTTTAATTCTAACACCGTCCAAAATTCTCGCGAATGCCCATTAAATCCATTGGAACATTCGAAGCACTAGAGAGGGGGAGCCCAAAAAAAAAAAAATCCCCCTTAAAATTTTTATTTAAAAAAAAAGTGAAGATAAATGGACTTGCTGGGAATCGAACCCAGGACCTTTCCCACGCTATGCTGATGCTAAGGGAAAATTATACCACTAAACCACAAGCCCGAACATGTAATGAATTAAATCAATTACAGACATTTCGACTTTTTTTGATATATATATACTTTTTTCCACTGCACAGCGATCTTCTGACATTCATTCTGTGTAACGAATCTAATATTATTCCAAAATTAAAGTCGTTTTCCGAAGGCGCTCTTCGAATCAAATAGAGGGCTTCTAGTTATTTCGAGATGAAGTGTGAGCCGAGGCGTGTCCACCGTTCCTCCAGATTAGTCATACAGGATATCGTTCTCGCTATTCAAAAACCAAAAATGTGCATCAGAAATTCACTCACCGCTCCACTGTAACCTAAATGTGTAAAAGCGACAACAAAAATCCGCGGCCAGGGACCCGAAACCATGGAAGCACTCGCAGCGAAGATTCTCAGGAGTGTTCTCCTTCACTCATCTGCTCATGTACTCTCAATCGTTGACGACGACCTTAAGCATCTGCCTTCATTTTGCTTTTTGACATGGACGATTTTTTGGACGTAATTGCATTAGCTAACTCAGTTACTACAGCTCCATACAGACGTGAGCTAAAAGAAGTTGCAGCTGAGTCACATCTTCACTGGTTGAAATGGCAGCAGTAGCTGTAGAGGGAGTTTGCTCTCAAACTCCCCTCTGCAAAACAGACGCAAGACTTTCAAACGCCTTCTAACGCTCACATTATTGAGTTATTCTTTCGATAGCGGGCGCGCGCTGGTCGCGGCAAAGTAGGCGCCAAAATAGCGACGTCAACGCTACTAAAAGAGTTCGGCTTACTTCGGACTATACTCAAGCGAGGTTGGATTATATCTACAGTAAATCTTGCATTGCAAAGTTATATCAGGTAGAAAAATTTCTCCAAAACCGGCAGCTAAGCTTACAAGACGCAGGCTATTTGGAAACAGCTTCCACGACTTGAGGAAGCGTGCACTCAAACGCGGCTGAAACTGGTTGCTATGATAGCTGATGTTAACGACATTCTCTACTTCCTATAGTCATGTGATGAGTATGACTATAAACACCCACGTCTCAAATCAATTGTTGCTTGGTCTTCTTATGGCGTACTACGGACTGCGTCCTGCCAAATTTGTCGAGTGTAGCGATCATTGATCCCCAAATAAAAGAGTAACATATAGGGATGTGGACTCCACTCTCAATTAGCACAACGGAGTATTTCGGTTTAGTTATGTATACAACTTAAGTACCAAAAGAATTATTGGGGAAAAGATAGAGCACAGTATAAAGTTATTCTGGAATTTCTATTTAACCTTCTACTAATTCCTAACAGGGATAACATTTTGCTCTATAAAGAGATAGATGTATTGCGGAAGTCCGCATGTGCGATAGTCTATTTCCTTGCATGGTTCTAGCGGACGAAGTCTTCGTTTAGCATAAGCATCCTTCTAATTTTGCTAGGTGAAGCTTAGATCCATTCTGCAGCGTACGTTCGTTTGCCATAAGAAATAACAAGAAAAATTTGTTAATATTCCGACAGCTTCAAAGGAAGCACATATTGAACAGTCAAATTATGACTGCGGGTTCATTTTATTAATATTTTCATCATCTGGGTCAACGCTGTGGATATAAGAAGTCGTTAAGTACGTACTACTTTCGACGAGGGATAGCAAACGGAATCGATGGTGAGAATTTCTTAGATCTACTTCTTACTTGCTAATTTTTGATTTAGATGAAACAAGCCCGGCCAAAAAGAGACAGCTGCTTAGTTATGTCAATAATGGCACTAGTTAATCGTAAATCTCATCAACCATCAGCTTTGACGTTCAGCATGCACTATAGGGAGAAATCCATGATCAAGCATACGTAGGCTTCGATAGTAGTGTAGCGTATAAAAGAGATCTTAACGCCCCTATGCCTTATTGCATTCGCATGAATGTTTATAATTTGGTGTGTATGGAAGAGAGGGTTTGAAATTAGCTGCAAGTTATTCCCACCTTTTCCGGAAGAAATTATACGTAAACTTTGACGAACGAAGTTTGCTAATGCTAGGAAGACTTATTTTGAGTTAGGAGGTCAGGGAAATGTTTTAAATAGCGAAGTACGGCATAGCCATGCAAGACTAACACTATTTCAAATCCTCCAAATTTTGCTGATATGATCAACCTCGCCAGAGTGTCATCCGCGGATTTTTGGGAAGCTAAAGTACCCACACTGCAAGATGTGATTAAACCACTAATAGCTCTAGCAAAGCTGGATGAGTATCGGCTCTTCTACCCAGGATCCGATTTTCAACCAAGTAAGGAAGGGTGCTGTAAGTGGTGCGACAAGGACGTAAGCACTGTGAAAACACCCTTTAATTCCGTTCTAGGAGGAACAAACTAATACTACTAACATGTTGCTTCGACTGTGCGAAATGGTTCTGGCCTGATAGTAACGAGTGGAATAAGCACTGCTCTTGGCACTTGGAAGACTTAAATTCTTTCTGTGGAATAATAATTCGACATAAGCTTCTAGTCCTTTTAGGGTACTGTCCCTTCTGTCTTAGCAACTTCTTTGACTTTGATCTCTTCCCTCCACAACAGTTTAGATACTACCGTGACAAGCAGAGCCATATTCCCCATATTAAGGGACGCCTCGACTGCATTCTGGACCAAGTCATTCATTACCCGCATTTGTCATGTACCACTCACTCTAGCTTGAAGTAGGCATTTCGAATTCACCTCTATGAGGTCCATGGTATACTAAAGAAGACCGCCTTTAAAGGACCGGCGAATACTAAGAAACGGGGCCGCCCGACTAAAGTGGAAGCACAAGCAAGAGCAGCGGCAGAGGGGGGCGGGGAGGTCTGCCCATCACGGGAACTAGAGGTGGAGAGTGGTTACCACATAATGGGATCGAGTATGATGACGAAGCTAAAGTAGGGAGGTAGCAATAAAGTTCGCAAAGTTGTAGATGGATTGCTAGAGTAAAGTCTGTTATTTCTGTACTATAGCTAGGATACGACGACAGGGTATTAACTTTAAGGCCTAGAGATTGAGTATCTGTATGTACTTCGTTTCTAATAGAAGCGTTTGCATTCAAGGATTAGGAAGAAGAGGAAATGTGGCAATATGTCTTTGACTGGACAGACCTGAAATTCTTAAAGCGTCTAGACGAAATTGAGGAACGGGTCGCAGAGTCCGTGGCGCAAGGCTGGATCGACACTCAACACTGGATCTAACAGTCCAATGTCAGCGGTTAGCTATTTTCATACACCTCAACTTGGATATTGGCAGTAAGAAATAACACAAGCTAGCGAGACCGCATCGTTCCCCACTGATATGGGCTTCGTAAATGCCCCAATCAGGTACCCAGCTGTGACTTGCCTTCTAACACTAAGCAGTTAGATTGGCCAACTCCACCACCTCCTCCCTAGTTCTCTCTTCTCGACTCTCCTATCAATCTAGAGAAGTCCTTAGTCGATATCACGTGCTCCGGCTCATCTTGCTCGCAGTGTTGCATGAAGAGACGGTCTTGGCTACGTGGACTCTTCGAATTTCTACTGCACCTGCTTGCTTCTGTCCGAACATCCATTCTCCCAACACTTTAATCCAATAACGACGAGTATGGACCTAGCTGCTGAAGCAAAATACATCGTTTCCGCCATTCTATCTGCAGCTGTCATGTAAGTGTTCAAAGCCCGCACCGATCCTTCCTCAGCTCTAACCTTTACCTTAGAGTTTCTTCTCTCATGTACCTAGAGCGCCGCTTCTCGCTGTACTTCCCAAATTTCTGTGTATCCACATTCATCACGAGGCTTATGGGTCCGCCGCCGGAGCCAAATGTCACCGAGTAGCGCTCTTGTCATCAAGTAGTGCTCTCGCCATCTCTCACCCCTAGCCTTCATGGCGTCAGCAGATTGCGTACTCTTCTACGTACGCTCTTACGTACAATCCACCTCGATTGTGTATATAGATTGAGTCTTCCACTCATTCAATTGATCATGGGTTGCTACATTGACTCGGTGCACTCGGTTACACCAAACCCTGCGTCCCCCACGGAACCTAATCCCCAGGCCCCAAAAGCACTTTGATCCAGGCAAAGACGTCACTCGTCCAGTCAGTTTCGCCACTCTTACTATCAACGTCTACGGCTACCCGTCCAAAGGTGGGATAATAATCCTCGAAAGCGCTACCATCCCCGAATCAGAGTTGCTAACAATCAACTTCATCAACCGAAGTTGGTTGGTTGATTGAGTTCTACCAATTCAACCAACCAACTTGGTGAGCTGATTCTTCTCAATCAACTCAACTTAAAGGCCTCAAGTTGATTGAGTTGATTGAGTTCAAGTTGGAGAGGTTTTAGATAGGCCGGGATCTATCTTTGTGATAGATTTGTAGTGTTTCGATGTTGGAAGACAGGCAGCAGGGCAGGTAACATAATGGATTGCATGAGCAAGAAGATGCTCAGAAGGGTGGTAAGGACTGATTAAATACACATCTCCCAAGCAGGCAGCAATACCAATGAGTCATCCAAGACCCTAGCAGAGTCATGCCAAGACGTCCGAGCAGTGGAAGCCTTGCAATGCGCCAATGTGCGCCAACATTCGATCGTAAACTGGCTGTGGGATAGGTGTTGCCAGGTAACGCTTAAAGTTGCCTCTTGCGTACTTAGTGAGATGTGGAGTAAAGATTAAGCGAGGATTACCTACACAATAGCTCAACTCCTGCACCAACGCGTCAATCTCAGCCATCTTATACCCACCACCACACTTTACCCATCCTTGAATAGTCCTCTAAAATGAACGAGAACCTTAAACAAGTCTTTAAGGAGGCCGTCACACGTGAAAACTGTGAAAATCCACCCCAGACACCCCTATCTCTGCGCCCGGAGGCAGACGACGTGTTAGACACCAATACAGATACGCTAATTAAGGTAGCGACTAATGAGAAAGATAATACAGCACTATTTAAGGGCCTTACGTGGAAGAAGGTGTCTTATCTATAAAGAAGAGCTTACAAGCACAGTTAAGGTAATAAGCTAAGCTGGATTTATTAGTATAGATGGCTAGTTTAGCACCGG